GTAACGCTGATTCCGAATCTGATATTAGTTTTGAACCAAATTGTAGCTTTCTCACAAAACATCCCCTGAAAAAGGTCTCAAAATGCAGACAAACTGCTTGAAAAGTTCTTGAGAAAGATGTAGGCGAGTGAAGAAAGCAGATCCACAATAACCCTAACGTTTTTTCGACAACTCTCCGATTCCGGTAAAAATCAAAATCTTAGTGCCGGGATCGAAACTACTTTGTAGATTCCTAAGTTCAACGATTAAGTAACTGAGCACTCTATTGTTATGCTTGATGTAATATTAGTCGATGATATTTGTTTATTTGAAGAAAGTATTTTAATCCCTTAATTTAAATAGTCGAAACTAACAATGTGAAACAAAAAATAATTTTTTTTCAAAGTCGTTCTTCTAATTTTAGTATTTGATATTTTGCTAACATATATGTCAACAAAAGATTGGGAACAAGCATTAAAGCAAAATATTCCTGAACGTAAAGGTTGGGTTATTAAAAATCGATCAGGTAGATTTGTTGATTTATTTTATTTTATATTTTAATTTTTGTTATTTTCTTAATTTAGATTTAGATGAAAAAAAATTAGATCTAAATTAATGTTTTGCTTTTATTCTTAATTTCAACTGTACTTGACATAATGTGATAAATACTTGTTTTTTTTTCTTCATCTTTTTCTAGATAATCATGTCAGATGAAATTGATGATTTATCATTTCCAAATGCAGTTATTACTCGATTGATGACTGAAGCTGTAAAAATTAAAAATTCAATTTGTAATTCAATCTTATTTCTGCTTTTTTTTTAATTCTAGTTGGATGGTTCAACAACTATTTCAAAAGAAGCTCGAGCAGCTATGTCACGCGCTGCATTGACATTTATACTTTACATTAGTACTAGGTATGTTCTAATGTTAACATTTATAATCAAAATCTCTTCGTTTTTATTTATTTTTAGTGCCAATCAATATGCTTCAAATGCTAAACGTAAAACAGTGACAGTACAAGATGTATTTAAAGCATTACAAACTAATCAATTTGATATGCTTGTTGAACCATTACAACAAGCATTAAAAGGTTTATTATGAATTAATAGAAAATTCAAATGAATTTTTTGTTTTTATATAGATTATCAAGAACAAATTCGAAAAAAGAAAGAAGAAACATCAAAGAAACAACAAACTCAACCTGAAGCATCTATTGAAAATGATGATGAAGAGGATAATAATGAACCTGAACCTGAATAAAAAAAAAAAATAAAGATATTTTCGTCAGATAATCAAATGTCAAAGATTTTTTTTTTCTATATGCTATAATATATATATATAAATATGAATGAAAACTACATCTATTAAAAAAATATATTCTTTATCCACATTATTATTTCAGATACTATTCAATGATCAATAAATTCATACACATGGAATTAACATGAATAGATAAAGGTCCATTGATAACTTCTTTACCTTACAGGAAAATAAAAGCAACATGTTTTTTTTCGTTCTTCATTTTTGTACAAAAAAAAACGTGTAACCTTCTTTTCACTATAAAAAAATAACCAATTATATCGACCGATATTCTTCAATGAATATGTCGCATGCGTAGTTTTACTCATTTATAAGGATAAGTTAACTCTCAATCAAATACA